AAAAAAAAAAAAAAAAAAAGCCCCTGTTCTACACCAAAAATTGGCCAAAAAAAAAAAAAGTTTCACTGCAACACCTCCACATTCATTGTTTATTTTTTGCTCATGACTACTGTCTCACTACAAATGGTGGAGTACCTGACCAGATGGCCAGAAAAATCCAAGTATTACTAGTTTTTCACCTTCACAGTAAAAATTTGCCAATTTCTGGTTCACATATTTTACTATGCCATAACCATAATGCTCTTATAGACCCATTTTTCATCTTCAAATGATACTGGATTTAGAGGCATTAAAAAGTTGTAGAAGCTTTAACAAGTTGGAATGTAGCATACTGCTGATAAAACCAAATCTGAAGGGTTAGGGAGTTAGCTCAGTGGTTCCGAAGCCTGCCTTACAAGTGCAAGGTCCCCAGTTTGACCCCCAGTACCAAAAACAAAAAACAAAAAAAATCTGTGTGTAAGCAAGATGCCAATGTGCTATCAGTGACATAAGAACATAACTGTATTTTACAATATAAAAGATAAAACCAAAGACATACTAAACTACCAACATTTTATAACAAACCTATACTACCCATATAAGGATGTTAAGATACTAACAAAATTGCTAGTAGTGTTGCTATTTTTTTCAAAGTATCCACCTACAATTCAAAAATTATTGCTTCTCTTTAAATCTCTCCAATCATATGTGGCAATGATTGTAAGAATAAGGTTGGCTCTAATTGGTTTTGCCACCAAACTATTACTCAAATGATCTGCTTATTCTTTAAGGGAAATTTTTTCTGTGTGCCTCATTTGCAACTGCAGGTATATATTACTGTATATTTAAACACTACAGGGTCTCTACTGTGCTAGAATAACCTATGCAGTAGAAAGCCAATGCAGCTCCATTTCTGAGAACTCTTCAAGGACTTCTATAATAATAATAATAAATATAATAACAAATGTAAGATATAATATATAATAAAATTAAGCTAAAACAAAAGAACCAGCTAAACAGTCTCTCTACCCTTAATGTTTAACAAAACTGCCTGAGGGTATTTATTGCTAAACACTTGATGTAAAGTGTAAGAGCAATAAATAGTATTCATTATATAAATGTGCTATTTTTCACATAAATAAATCTTTACCAAATTAAACTAATTGAAAAAGCTGAAAAACCATTTCTTAGGATTACTGTGACATTTTGCCATTTGGGAATTAAAACAGTCAATT